AAGCACTTATTTCACTGAGCCATCTCCCTGGCCCCAGGAAAACTTTTAATGTAAAAACATTTGTGGAAATTGGAGCTTTGGGGAATTAATAATATCCAGGATAATCAAGAATAGAATGATATATGTTTTGTGCTCTGTCATATGTGCTTTCTCTTTAACCTTCTTTCTCTTTGTTTGAAGAAAATACACGTGCTAAGGCCGTTACTCCTTAGACAAGACCAGCATGTGTGTTCTTTCCTGGGTAAATTCTCACTTGGTTTCTTGTGTTTTGAGATACAAAAGTAAGAAACATGGAAACAAATTACCACTTTCAATTAGAAGCAGCAATGTGCAAAAAAATTATAAAAATATTAAAATATAAGGAGTGCTTGTCATTAAAAAAAAATAAAGCTAATGGTATAGAGTTCTAGGAATCTTTAATGGTTTGTCCCTGATAATCAGATGGAATTCAGAGAAAGAATAGATTACAAAGAGAAACAAGAGTATCAAAGAGAAAGTAATCAGGGACTATCCATGTGGTTGAATAAAAAGGATTTGGTAAAGTCAAGGTAAGAAGATAGCTCAACAAATTTTTATAGATAGAGAAAATTTTGATACTATAAAAGTAAAAAAGGTACTATAGGGATTTTTTTTTTTAAAGAAACTTTTTTCTTGGCTTGTTAATTGAAACAGAGAATAAACTACAGAAATTTGTATTTTATACTCTTTAATACTACTTTAAAAAGTCCGGCTCTGACCCCAGGGCACCTTAGCTGACGATTGAGACTGGGCGTGGTGGCGCACACATGTAATCCCAGTGCTTGAGAGGCTGAAAATGGGAAGATCACTACGAGTCCAAGATGTGTAGTGAGACCCTGTAGACCCTGTACTAAATACATTAAAAATAAAAAATAAATAAATAAATAAAAAGTAATATACATGATAATCTTGAAATGTATTTAATTTAGAAGAACTTATATACAATGGCATGTGCTAGTTATTTTTTAAGCTTAACTGATACACTTATCTCAGGTAGTCTAATAATTTATATTCAAAGTGGTGCTAAGCATTGTTTTAAAGGATTTCAGTGAAGAAGAAACCACTTCAAATCCTACAATTTTTTTTATTTTTTTTTAGAACCAGGGATTGAACTCAGGCCCTTGCGCTTACCAGGCAAGTGCTTATACTACTGAGCTATCTTCCTGGCCCCTACAAATCTTAAACATTAAGAAATCTCCTAACATTAGGTCTATTAAAATTCAAATTTAAATTGTCCACTATAATGTTTTTAATTAAAAGAGTGCACATTCATTAAAGCTAGAATATATGTTATCGCTCTAAAAAGCATGAGCTACACAAAATAGGAAACATAATTTTTCCACACAAACTGATGCATTCGAGGGAAATGATGATTCTTAAAACTCCCAGTTAGTCTTAAAGCAAGGGAACTTGCACACAAAGAAATATTTTCTTACATAATTTTAGATGACTTATTTAGGAGCTACCAAAATAAGAATTGAATTTTGACCACCCAAAGGCACATTTAGCAAGTCATTAGTCAGTTAAACATTTCCAACTGTATTGTAAAGTGGCAATAGAGTTGGCAATAGCCATGAGCTAATTAGGACATTACCTTAAAGCAAAATATTAATTTTCTATTCACTCTGCTACTTTGGAGATGATAAAACAGCATAAGCACATTTTATTCAGCAACTAAAAATACACCAAAGTGAATTCTTATAAGGAGAGACTGTGTGTTCAAAGACGTTCACTCCAGCACTCCAGCGGCTGGAGCCAAGCTGACCTGTGCAGGGTGACAGAGAACTTGTCCATCCGGCCGACAGAGTGGCTCAGGGCAGCGGTTACCATGACATACCAGACACACGATGAGCCCATCGCATGACCAGACGGGCTTCCTGCAACAAGTAGCATCCATTGGAACGACGGTTAATTAAACACCAAGATCAGAAACAGACATGGGAACAGCATAATTGCCACAAAATTACAAATAACTCAGGAAAAAAAAAACCCACAGGACTTTACAATATGTAAACGTTTAAGAAGCAGGTAAAAATAAAGAACACTGAGTCAAACTGAGTGAACACTATCTCAAAAATATTTTTTCTAGGTTTTTAAGTTCATTAAATTCCAGGTGTCTATATAGTCCAGGCTTTTACATCAAAATCTAAAACACTATTCATTCTTCATGTCTGATTGTTTTTAATTGGCCAGAAGATTAAAGTATTTATATTGGATCTTGAATCAATTAATCTTCCTCCAGCTGAAAAGTCAAACTCTAAAGAATGTCATCGCTAGGTTTGTGGTTTATTGATTGATTCAGAAATGACAGCTGCATGCAAGCAGCTATCCATATGCCTATCTTGTGATGCTGCAGTGAGGATCTTTGTTATGCACGGGGAGTGAGGAGACGCTGTCCAGGGAATGGTAACGCAGGCAGAAAAACCAGGTAGCCCTGCTGATCCCAGAATGTCTCTCCCACGCTGCTTGGTTTTAATTTTAATCACTGTACTTTGATGTTGGCCAGAATTTTTCCCCTAGCAAATATTCCCTGTAGGTAAATACAGTCTTTGAAAACACAAGACACTAGTCTCTTTTTTTTGTTAAACAAAGACAAACCTATTTGTAGTCTATAGGAATTTTCAAAAGCTTTTGCATACGTAAGTGAACTGTCTCCAAGGAGCAAATATAGAATCTCTCTCTCTTTCTCTCTCTCTCGCTCAGAGACACAACACACACACACACACACCCCTCATAGGACAGAATAAATGCTGGGAAGTGGTAGAATAGACCACAATGACTTTTGAATTATCTCCAAGATTATCCATCTGTCCATTCACTGCACACTAATTTCACAAAGATAGAAGTACATATCACCCCTACTTGATGGAGCATAGAGTTTAAGCAACCACATAATGCATTTATAGTATGGTATGATATGTGATATAACAAGCATATGTATATTTTATGAGAGCAAAAGGGCATTTGGAAAATCCATCAGAACACGTACATTCACCATCTTCAGGGTTATTTTCAAAGGATTTCAATTTGCAAGAATTTTATGCTTTGTAGCTGGTGAGGTACAATAAAACACATTCTTATAAGTTAAAACAGTGTGTAATTTTCTTTTACATACATTTCAAATCACCTTTTAAATAACCTTTTTGAAATTGTTCTTTTGTTGTTGGCAGTGCTGAGGATAAAACCCAAGGCCTCCATAGTTAAGTGAGTGCTCCACCATTGAGCTAATCCCAGACCTTCTCTTTACAGTTCTAAACTTCTTATTCAGAATCTTATTTGTAACAAAAAAGGAAATGTCCTGAGAAAGCTACTACTTTACTACACATACAAGAAAAAAGTTCTAAGATTAGAGATAATGTGTACTGAAAACAGTCATATTGAGGAGACCTTACTCTGCTTACACAAAACTTATCTATTTTCTGTTCATGGGTCTTAGAAGACCTCTAATAACTTTGAAAGTAGCTGAACAGCGGATGAGTCAACATTTCTAGGCCTTAAGTAGTATTCTTTGGGAATTTGTTCTGTTTTCCTGATTGTCTTAGTTTTTTTTTTTTTTTTAAACATTTTCTTTTTTTAGAAATTTTTTTAAAAATATTTATTTATTTATTTAGTGTGTGGCCAGCTCAGCCCACCAGGGGGCGGGTGGGCTGGCATGTGGTGCTGGGGGATTGAACCGAGGTCCCTGTGCTTTGCTTGAGCTTAGCTTGTTCTAAGTAGGTGCTTTAGACCACTGAGCCATCTCACCAGCCCCTGATTGTCTTAGTTTTAAGGCATTACATTCTCCCAAAAAATAAATATTAAATTATAAAATTATTTGGGGAGTATTCTCCCAACCTACCCTCTCACCAATAACAGAATAGAATTGGATTATTCATAAAGCTACTTTCTCATTAGCAATGCTGATGCTTATGAACTTTTAGCCTCCTCACTTGCGACATTTTGATTCATACTCTATATAATATCATAATCATGATGTGACGATAATCATACATAATGACTGTGTGTTGGAATGTCTTCAGTAACTTCAGGCTATGTTAATTGCTTACCTGGACCAGTTTCACATGTAGTAGGGAACTGTTCAAGGCATAGGTTTGAATGATTTGGGTAAAGTTGAGTTTCTTGAACCCACCAGTACGGCCGATGACCAAATAATATCCTGTATTTGAAGAAATATAAATACTCATACATATATTTAAGCACACAATTATTACTTACTTTGGCATTTTTTTACTATAAAAATGGCATAAGTAGAAAATTGATGAGGAAAGCTCACGATTAAGAGACTGAAATGACTTGGATTCTGGTCTTTCACTCATTGTAGAGGGTAGTCATGTGGGGTTTAGCACCCTACTGTCCCATAAGCATAGGAACTTTTTTCCTTGTGAGGAATGTCCCTGGGTGCTTTGGGTACTTAGGAAATATCAAAATGATCCCTAAAATCATCAACCTACTCATAATGTGCTGCTCCCTTAACTAACTTCTTGGTTATCAAAAAATGTTATAGGGTTTTAGAGTTTACTCTTAAGTCAGTTAAAGTATACACTTCTATGCTTTTTGTAATTTCTACTTATGAAATTGGTTTTCAAATATTAAAATAGTATGTTTGAAAGAATTTCTAAGTTAAATTATACACATCTGAAGCAAAAGCAACAAATCTAAGAAGTTTCAGGGAAAAAGAAAACAGAAGTCTTACCATTTAAATATAAGATTGAACCAATCCCCAATGACTGCTACCCATATCATCTTGGTTCCAACTGTCTGATTAAGTTGAAACCAGAGTGGAAAATAAATAGAAAAGATATTCCTGGGGTCTCCAACATTGGACATAAAATTTAGAAAATCGTAGTAAGCCCGATAGTCCTTCTGCAAATGTTGAATAATAAGCACTCCATTCTTATGAAGAAAATCCATCATGAGAAATAGGCAGAGGCAAACATAGAGCAATTGGCGCAGTGTACTCTAAGTCCCACTGGTTTTATGCACTGCCCTCACGGCGTGTGGAGCCATTACTGTGACATGTGACACTCACCATCTGTGGAAAAGAGATGTCTCTGTTCACCTCTGTTGAAAAGGTCATCTGTTTGTGATTTTAATTGGCGGAAAACAAGTGAAGTACATGCTGATCTGTGGCAATTTGAGGAGAAATTTGGATAGAGCACAATGAATTTCTTATGCAATCTCCCATTTGTGTGAACAGTTGGATTGTGTTTGTTTGAAATTTTTTGCACAGTTCATTTCCTGCAGGAGAGACATTAGCAATTTCTATGCTTGGCCAGAAGACTATGCAAATAATTATTGCATGTCAAATAGCTCTTATTAAAGTCTTGCATTTTGATGTAAGATAGACTGTTATTCTGACTATTCTACTGGGTCTTTGAGGAAAATGGTAAAGATATGGGCATGAAAATTTTACATGACAGATTATTTTCTGATTGTAGTATTTTGAATGAAATTTATAAATATAACATTTATATTTATAAATAATAGTATTTATTATCAAAGAGAAGAATAGAAGGTAGAAGGTCTGAGAGGTAATGTTATTTTTTTACTGTGAGGCAAAAAAAAAAAGCAGAAATGGTGGTCATTTGGGTAACAGAAATGTGTTAAAATTGAGTTGTGCTTTTTACTGACTGGAGAATATAGTTGAGATGATTTGAGAGCTGCTCTTCAGTGAAAGACTTCAGTGAAAGTCTACTCTTCATGTGAGTAGACTTCAGTGCACTTTTGATCAATCAGCAAAATGGTTTGTTGAAAACAGTGTTCACTAGAAGTAGGTGGGACGCCCCCAAACAAAAAGGTCAGTGGGCGTGAACAGAAGGGCGGGATCTCAGTCAGAGGGAGGCGCTGGCTTTTGAGCACTAAGTTCTGCCCAGGAAATGAAAATGGAAACAACTGAGCCTGCCAGGTGGCCAAAGATGGCTCTAGATATAGTACTGGTTACCTCACTGTTTGGATCTCAGCTTTGCTAACCATGGCCTCCCTCACTAGAAATCATCTTCATAGACTATGCACAGCACTTTGAATTTCTCTTTGAGTTTTCTCCTAGCATTTAACAGCACCATTGTTATTAGCTTTGGTACCTTCCTGGCCTCTGTTGCTTCCCCTGGAAATAATGCTTTGGTTGACCTCTAACATCTTTTGGGGTGCTTTTTAGGAAATGGCATCTTCATCTCACCCCAGATCAATTTAATTTTGGATGATGAGCCCCAGGTATTGGTATTACAAAAGTACTTCCCAGGACAGTCCAATGTATAGTCAGGATTTAGAATCATGCTAAAGAAATTCATGTGAAATATCAGACCTGACTAATCAGTCTATGCTTCCGGCTTTTTTGTTAGCATATTCCGGCTCTATAATTTCCATAATCTCTTTAATGAGCTGTGAAGAAGGACATAACTTTCCTTTATTCTTTTTCTGAGAAGTGTTTGAGCTACATAATTCATAATATTCATTTTCTGCAGAAGTGTCTTGTCCTTAAATCAGGGCAGGAATGATATCAAATAAATTTTGTCTTACAATTACAAATGAATTTCATGCTCATTCAACACTTCAGAGTCTGTGGACTGTGATGAAGTTGGCTGTATATTAGCTTTTCATCGCAGGTAGTTAATTTAGAAAGACTGTCTCCTAAGGACTATCTAGTTCTGTAGACTAGGGGATAATTACCCAAAACAAAAGTAGTTTGATTCCTTTTGCCCTTTAACAAGATCAGCTAACTCTTGATTTAAGCATAATTTGTAATCATACATTTATTTTGAATTTACTTAGTATTTTTCTCCCGTACTGCCATATAAGCTGCATAAAATAAGGGCTCAGATCTGCTCTGTGGACCAGTCAGGGAGAAGCACTCAGCGCAGAGCCACACAGGGGTGTAGCTGGCACGCCATGTGGGGCAAGGGATGGAATCCTGGTCCTTTCACTTGCCAAAGCAGGTGCTTAGTCTGCTGAGCTATTTAATTTTTCAAAAAAGTCTCTTAGTATTACAGTTGTGTTGAACCCTACAATGCCTGGAATTTCCCTTGGACACACTGTCATTTTTGGTATTATTAAATATCTACTGAACAAATGTTTGAACAAAACTCAATATAAGTGCTAACTTATGAAGATGCTATGTTTTAAAAAATGCTTATTTGCTTAGTCCAAATTCAAATGCATTTTCCCACAGAGATGATGTAATAAAGTGATCAGACCAAGAAAGCTTAGCACAGTGAGAAAAAATGTATGTAAGGTTTATCTAAGGGGGAAAAACACGTATATACTTATGTCTACAGAGAATGAAAAAGTACTTTATGTTTACCATGAGGAAGAGAACAAAGGAAGTGGGGATGCAAGCCAGACTTCCTCAAATATTCTTACTTTGTAGATTTGACTTTAAAACCATGTAAACAGTTCATGTAATTATAACATAAAGTTAAAAGCAATTCATGGAAGAGTTAAAAAAAAAGAAATTAAAAAATGAAAACAATCTTTCATACTCATAATATTTGTTTTATGATTTGTTCCTGTGAGAAATCTCTTTTTTTTTTTTTTTTTTTTTTTTTTGAGAAATCTCTTTTTAAACATTTCCCTAGTCTGCCTCAGCTTGGCCTCTCCCACCACAGTCGCTGCAGTCTGGGGTTGAGGTCCAGCCCAGAACCTACCCTACAAGGAGGGAGTGACAGGAGACCAGTTCTTTGCAGTACTAGTCGTCTTTGCATGGAGCTTTTCTCTCCAATAACAGACTGTGTTACATGCTAGTCACCGCAAAGCCAAGGTTATCAGAGTTCAAGGTGTGCCCCAAATCAGTTCAGCAAGGGCAGATTGAAGCTACCTAGACCAAAATAAAAAAGAAAGTAGACCTGCCACTTCAGCTCATCTGTTTTGTGAGGCTGTTTCTCTCAAAGTGTGATCCACCCACGGACCATCTGCCTCTTGGTACCTCACACAAATGTCTAGGCCAGCTCCAGATCACAGAACCAGTCTCTGGGAGATGTCCAGAAATATGCCCCCTAATGAGCTCCCTGCACAGCACTTATGCACGTCAAGTTTTAGAAGTTCTGTTTTAATTCACCCCTCCTTTGATAGAAGGTGTCTGTATCCACCCAGTGTCTCTAGGTGGAGTCAAACCTGCCTCGAATTACTGAGCACTTTTTCTCACTTGCCTTTTTTGGAGTTTTCATTTGATTTCTTCTCATAGATGTCAGCAATTCTCACGTGACTCCTTTCAGAACTTCCTTTCTATTGCTTTTTCTCACAAAAGCACACATTAAAATCTTAAAAATATTTGCTTTAATTAATGCTAATTATTATTTTGCCAGCAAAGGCTGAGATTCTTAATCAGAGCAGAAGTAGGGCAAAGAAACAGAATTATAAGTTTATGCACAATTCTTATGCTGTATCTGTTTTGTGCTGTGCCATCCCTGCCTCTTCTTCTGCCTCTCTTTTTTCCTCTTTTCTCCTTCCCCTCTGTCTCTTTGCATCTCTGTCTCTCCTTTTCTTTTTTCTGCACCTCACCCTTGTCAATACACTAATCACTTAGTTATCCAAATCTTTGAATTGGTTGGAGAATTTGGTCTCTCTAGTCTGAGATCAAGGGTAGCTCCAAGAAAGCAAGGATACATTTGACTTGTTCATGATTGCGTCTGTAAATCCAACCAGATGTCCTACACGTAATAAAGGACCTCAGGATACTGCACAGCCATTCTTTTCTGGATTTTGTTCATTTTCCTGTTTCAGTAGGAGAATTCTCCATCTGATTCCTCTAAACATTCAACAACTAGAACTCTGCTCTGCCAGGAAAGCATTTTTGAAAGAAATCTCTTCAGTCACTAGGTCGTCGATAAACTGTTTTGATTTATTTAAGGGTCAGTAGGTGTCCTGAAATTGCTTGCAAAATCTTTGTGGTTGTGCACAATTTCTTGGAAGAAGGCTGCAGCTTTCACCAGATCCTCAATGGAATCCCTGACCCAAGCAAATTAAATACAGAGTGAAATTCACTGGCATCCCATGCACTGTCTGTGGTGTTTATAGGCAGAACCTCACCATTTTCTTAATTTTCTTGGAGATAACTTCATTACTCCATTTTTCCAGCATGATTTGCTTATCTTAATGACTTTTTTTTTTTAATCTTAAAGACTATTTTTGTATAGAAAGAAAAACAAGACTATTTTTTTAACGTTATTGCAGCTATCTCCAGTCCCCTGTAATGCTGCTTTATTTTTTAGTTAGTGTTTGTAATGAAATACTTTCAGTTCTTTCCCGAACATTTTCATTCTGGCTCATTTAAATTTTCCCTATGTTTTGATTTAAGCATATTCTGGTTGTTTTACCTAGAGTGCATCATGTCATACAGAGAACAGAATTTCTTCAATATTCTTTGCCATATCAAATTTTATGTAACCCTAGGATTTATTCTTATCATAAAAGGAACCATTCATCTCTGAGTTATAGTGTATGCTGCAATTCAACATCATTCAGAGCAATTTGGCTTTAGTTTGCGTCACTTATGCAGTGGAAGCAAAACGAAAATAGATTTTGGAAGCATTGATCTTTAAGATCCTGCATGGTCCTTAACCTTTTACCACAAACTTATCTGCTTTCCCTAAATAAATTGTTTTTGAGATTTCTCCAGTGTCACCTTGCAGTGTAAAATCCATTTATTTCATGCTAAGTGTGGACCCTGGCGACTTTCAAAGAATAATTACCTTGATTCTGGCTAGCATCCCAGGAATACTGGCATTCTATAATGACAGTATTATAAATGGTCCTGCTATAACTGTTCCAGGTACCCCCCATTAGTCTCATTATGTACTATTCTCTAGAGATGATCATGACCCACATATTCATAATCTCTTTCTTGGATCACTAGAGGAACAGAAATAGTTTCCCATTGAGCAGTTTTCTATTCATTTTCTTACAGTAAAGCTGAGATTCTGCATTTTATATGCACCATAGAATCATTACTTCAATACGTATCTAAATTACTTGAGAGGCTTATTTTAACACATTACAAGGACCCATTGCCAGAGTTTTTCATGTGGCGGGACTAGGGGAGTTTTGAAAGTTGAATTTCTGACATATTCCCTTATGATGATGACGTTGCTGGCTGGGGAAACTTTCTACTGAAAAACGGTAGTTTAAGACTGATTCATTCATGCCCAGGGCAGGGCAGACAGATCAGACTTCCAGAAGCTTTAGCTCTAGCAGAACAGGTATTTTCACAAATAACATTTCATTGTGCATTTTGAGGTGAAAAGATAGAGTAAATGGAACAGAAGAGAGGCAGATACAGTATAACTTTCAATTTATGTGGCTTCAGAGCTTTTGTGAAGGAAGAGTCAAATGAACAGGGGTTGACATATATGGAGAATTTGGAAGTTCAAAATGTAGGATAATAGGAAAATACATTCCAGCATATGATGGAGAGACTATCATCACCTTATCGAAAAATTAACACCGATATATCAGATTTAACAGCTATAAAAGAAATTCTTATTTTTTTCATGTATGAAAAAAGTGAAAAATTATGCCCACAGTAGTCAACTACTTAAAGATAGAAAGTAGAATGCTGGTTGCCACCGTGTAGCAGTAGGAGAGAATGGGATTTATTGTTAAATGGATAGAGTTTCAATTTTGCATGATAAAAGTTCTGGAGATAAATAATGTTGATGATTACACAGTAATGTTAGTATAATGTCGGTGAACTGCTGTAAATTTTATGCATTTTACAAAAAAATTTGGGTGTTGATGTGGGAAGGTAGAACTTCACCCTTTTTCCCCTTATCATAAAAGATAAGAATTTTATGTATTTTACAAAAAAATTTGGGTGTTGATGTGGGAGGGTAGAACTTCACCCTTTTTCCCCTTTTTAAAAGATAAGAATGCTCAATCTCATTCTACAGATTGAGCAGAAGGACTAGGTGTTCCTAGTTGTGCTTTAAGGAGCAGAGAGAAACCACTTGCCCTGGCTTTCAGAGATTATTAGCAACCCAAATCCAATAATAATAACAATAGAAAGAAAGGAAGGAAGGAAAAAAGAAAAGAAAGGAAAGTAAGTAAGAAAGAAAAAAAGAAAGAAAAAAATAATCCTTTGCTACAGTCCCAGAAATTTTTATTTATTTATTTATTTATTTTTCCATAATTTCATTGAGAAACAAATAGCAATGAGACAGCTTCAAACCAAATTGGTAGGACAGTTTCAGCAATCAACGCACCACACACATTCTTCCCAGTGGTTATTTGCTGTACAAGATGCGGACATGACATCCCATTTACAAACACCATCAGAACAAATCCCTCTATTCATTAAGAGAACGTAACTAGATATCTATCCTAACCATTTTGAATACACAGATACAAAATGGACATTCATCTGCATCCCCCTTTTTGTTCAGTTCCATTATTTGAATATTATTGGTGTGTTAACCCAGCAAAACATTCCAAGAGTCCAGTAGTCCATAATAGTATTGGGTCTTCCACTTCACTGGCAATGTCAGAAATTGTTGTCCTGAGTTCTCTACAACTCAACATAACAGCATGACTTTATTTCTTATACTTCGTTTTTATACTTTTCTGCTGGATGGTTAAGACCAAGATAAAGCAGGACCTGTGCAACAAGAGTTGTAGCTTTTGGGTCTGATCAGGTCAGTGAAATCCCCTCAGGATTTATCCTGAGATCCTGTACCTCAGATTGTAGAACCTTTGTCAGTGTCAGCCATGTGGATGAGTCACGGCCATTGCTTGGCCAATGTGCTCTCTGTGAAAGCCTGAGAGAATGTTTTCTCTCCATGTGACTCTCCTTAGGCACACTCTACATCATCGATCACTTTCCTCTTTGGCCCCATAATCTCCTTGATCAGAAAATTTGGGACACTACTGAGTTACGTGACGTTACAGTACAAGTTCTCATATGTCCTGATATTTTTTAATTGACCTTGGAAGGCTAGGGCCAAAATGTTGGCTTTCCTTGCGGCCCTCCTTTTTCTCTAATTTTGGTCTGCAAACTTAGGTTGTTAACCCTCCAGAAAAGAAGCTTATTGTTATTACCATACAACCTAGGCTGTTAAGCTTAACTTCACTTTCTGAATATCAAACATCTTAGGCATAACATGGAACAGGTATTTTTCATCAAGTATTGATATGTTGAACTTCAAGTCCCTCCAGAATATGATGAAAAAACATTTAAAAATTAGAATATATTTTAAAAATAAGCATAAAGAATTCTATACTTCTTTTTTTTTTTAATTTTTATTTATTTGAGAGAGAGAGAGAGAGAGAGAGAGAGAGAGAGAGAGAGAGAGAGAGAGAGAGAGAGGGGTGTGTGTGTGTGGCCAGCTCAGCACACCACGGGGCGGGGCTGGCTGGCATGTGGTGCTGGGGGATTGAACCGTGGTCCCTGATGCTTTGCTAAGCTTGTTCTAAGTAGGTGCTTTAGACCACTGAGCCATCTCTCCAGCCCCAAGAATTCTATACTTTTTATGTTTACACATAAGTCCAGAAATCTAACCCAGGCAACTTTTGAGTCCGCCCAGCTCTCAGACTTAAAACTACGAATCCCAGAATACCCTTTACCTTAGATTTTCCCGCGAGAGTTCTGGAGTTTGCGTTTACCAATCACTGCATAGAGAGCCTGTACTATTAGCCAATCAGAGAGAGAGTAGGCTCCGGAGGCGGGCGGCGGGAGGTGCCCGGCGTTTGAAATCGGAAATTTGGCGCTATTGTCCGAACTGGGCTGGAGGTCGCTTAGGGGCTGCGGATCGCTCTGGTTGTGGGGGAAGGCAACTGAGTTCAGGTCTGTCAACCGCGCGAGGAAGGTGGGAGCCGGGCTGGGCTCTTCGATCCTATTCGCCTGTTGTGATGGAGACGTAGGTTGGGGCGGCATGTTTATGCGTATTTCTACTGGGGTTTGTGAAAAGCGCGTCTTTTTGCTCTTGGGGCTCGGAGGCGGTGGGGAGGGGGCACAGCGGGGCAGCCATGCGGTTCTGAGTTTCGCTGAACAAGGAGTCGTTGGCCGTCCTGCGGAGATTTTAGCGTATCAGAGAACTGGTGGGGCTTGGGTTATTCCGAGATACCCTTTACAGAGGAGTGACGGCCAGATTCCCACTCCAGTCTCCAGTTCACTGTGCTTTTCCTGTTCCAGGGTGGGAAGAGGAGATAGGGTAGATGTGTGAGGTCTTGCTCGGGGGTGGGGGTGGTGTCGGTGTCGGTGTCATTGTCATTGGCCACCTTGTGATTCAGGTTGGAATCAGAGAAGGTCAGGGTTGGACCGGGCCTTAGAAGTGGTCAGTTTTATTTGTTAGAAAAGCAGTGTCAGTTTCCCCAGGGTCTTAGAGCTATGATTCTCCTGTGTAATTGCACTTTATTAAACAAGTCCTTAGGGGGCAAAGGTGTTCTAGATCCTTGCTGCAAGTTAATCGCGATTAAGCCCAAGTGGCTTGATTTGTCAGTAAGTTTCTAGAACAAAAGTTTCAGTTGCTAACGATTTTCTAGCCCGGGTCAAACTGTCAGAGCATACTTGATTTGAGTATGTGGTTTATTTGGTTTTGATAACTTTTAATGTAGGTGTTCTGTGTTTCATAGTGGCTTGCACAATGGTGGAGGATGAACTGGCACTCTTCGATAAAAGCATAAATGAGTTTGGAAATAAGTTCAGAAACACTCTCAGTGACACCCCCTGTCAGATGGTGGGACTGAGAGACGCCTACAAGGACTCCCTGAAAGCCCTGGCAGGTACTTAGAGCTGACTTGTCACTTGTTTTTGCCACTTTTGCTGTTTTTCAATGTCATGTGCGATGAACTGAAATTCAATTTCTTTTTCAGAGAAGCTGTCAGTGAAATTAAAGGAAGAAGAACGAATGGTTGAGCTGTTTCTGGAATATCAAAATCGTATGTGAGAATCTGTCGATCACAGTGTTTTAGATTAAATATATTTATCATGAAATCTCTCCTACAAATAAGATAATATAGTGAAGGTGTTTATACATTTACACATATACATACTCATATATGAAAAAATAATGAACATGTTCTTACCACTCAGTTGAAGAAAGTGGACATTCTGTGTTAGATCTTAGAAGGTGAGAACCTTCTAAAACTACTGGTATTTAATATTATGTTTTAAAATGTTATATGAATGACAGCATTTGTATATTTCCTGTTCCTTTTTTTTTTTTTTACCTAGCATAATACTTGGGATATTTGTCTATGCTGCTGTGTAAATGCTGGCATTTGATAACAGATGTTTCTAGCAAAAATCACAGTGTGGGAATTAAAAAGCATCTTGTCTCTCCACTCTTTGGGATAAGATTCCTATGAGAGGTGATCAAAATATATGGTGAATTAAAAACCATTTTTTGGTATACATGCTGCTGAAGCAAACATTGAATTTTTTTTTTTTTTTTTTTTAGTTGTGACTCCAGACAGGATCCAAAGAGGAATTTAAGGCTCTTGTCTGGGTTTTATGGAGGCATCCTTTACCCTTTTGTGTTAAAATTTTTTTAAAAAATATTTTATTGTGAAGAACATATTGCTGTTAGGGCCAGGGATATAGCTCAGTGGCATAAGCACCTGCCTGGCAAGTGCATGGTCCCAAGTTCAGTCAGAAAGACTCTCCCTCACCTGGAATGCAATTATTCCGTCATTCTTTCTTTCTATTTTCTGAAGTAGTTCTGAAAGACCTCTTTTATGAGCGTCGTTATGAGGTGTGATCAAAAATATAGTGCCATCCAACCCCAAAATAGGCCTGTAAAAACATTACCGCGGTCGTAGTCCTTCGCTGTTTCGCAGTTTGGCTTTCGCGGACTCAGTGCTTTGCGGGTTTTCAGAAAATATTAATCTAAATTATTTGTCACAGATTTTTCACTACATCACGTACCGTACAGTATGTATGTTGTTAAAGTTACGTAGGTTTACCAGTTTAGAAAATGGTTAAGAACATTAGAAGTGTTTTTCAGAGTGTGGGAAAAGCTTATAAGGGGCGGGGGTTGGGGAGAGAGCGCGGAGGTCTGAGCGACCCCTGGCAAGCGATCCCGGGTACTGCATGCTGTGCCTGTCCCCAGCCCTAAAACTGGGCGTGGTAGTGCACACCTGTAATCCCAGGAGTGCTAGGGAGACTGAGACAGGAGGATCACTAAGAGTCTGAGCTGCATAGCGAGATCCTGTACCAACTACATTTATTTTTTTTATTATTTATTTATTTATTTATTTATTTATTTATTTT